TAAATAATAAATGACAAATAAACGAAACACACAGAATGTGGTGAAAAAAATTAAAAATCATGGAAGCAAATGCGAAACGGTAAAAATAAATTAACGCACGATGGTGCAGTTATTGTTAAAAAAAAAAAAAAAACAAATCTACTTCATTCGACGATTGCCCTTCTATAAGTAAGGACACAATTTAATTTAGGGGTTTATAAGTACGGTCTTAGATGTTGACATTGGATTATGAAATGTATGATACTGTATAATTTGATTTCTTTGAGTTACGTTATCCTTTTCAGTTAGTTTTCGTTCCGTTTACACGGTCAATGGGTAATCAATGTCGATTAATGGACTATCTTTATTCAGAGGACATATATGAATTGTTCTTGTGATTTTTGTGTTATTGCGTTTCTATATACCGCATTATTTATAGAAGACAGTTAAATTTTGCAGTGGCGTAGTGGCGTTATTACGAAAATACTACACAATGGTAGAGCAACAATTTAGAACAGAGAATGCTAGCCTTTCTGGCTATTACGACTACAGTGGTTTGTTAAATTCGGCAATAATAATTATTGGAACCATTGTTTGGTCAGTTTCTATGTGACCTATAATTAAAGGTTGTTGAAGGCCTGCCCACGAGGTTGAGTTGGAAAAACTGGCATCCTCGATCCTGTACGAGTATCGGTCCCTTCTCCGTCTAATTATGATTGAGTCATCTGGACACTCAGAACTTAAGATTCGTTTATTTATCGTAGTCACTGTCTTCAAGAATCCTACTGATGTCGAAAAAAGCACACGTGTCCCTAAACACGACTCCGAACCGATAGAGGCTAATTTAACCCGATCCTGTGACTTTGGTTACGATGTTGATTTTGTCCTTTCCCAATATTTAGCATTAGAATAGGGAGAGGAATTAGGATTATTCTGACCAAACATTTGTAAGGCAACGAAGTGTCTCTATGCTTCGACCGCGTCTGCGAAGAAGTCAGAGACGGCAAAATCTAATTACTAGACTTTTTCAACCGGTCTCTTGGTTGTTTTTCAGCATTTCGATGAGTTCGATAGATATCCCAACGGTCGCTGCTATTTGAAATAAATTGGCTTCCCGTTCACTATAGTTCGTAAAAGCTGAAACCTGCCATGCGCGAC